TTATCAAGACTGTGTGCTGACCTTATTTGTTAGCTGATCACGGTTGCTCCTGTGGCGCTTCTTGCCAATGCCCCGCTGGTGGCTGCCAGTGCCCCGTAAGTGTTGCGCTTTCTGGATGGTTCGATGTTGTTTTACTGACCAGGTTTGTCGTATCGTAGAAGAAATAAATCATGGGCAAATGAAGAAATGGGAGAGAAAGGAGGAAATGGGGGAATGGGTTGAACATCACATGCAGCAGTTAGGGTGGCCCAAGAGTTGACGGGAGGTGCTTGATCATTTCTAGCTATCTCTCTTGATATTCTTGCCAACAGCATCATCAGGAGAATCAGCGTCATGGTTGTTTGCCTTTCAATAGTCGCGACAATAACGTTGTGGACTCGTTTAGAATTACAGAGTTTGATAGCCTCTCCATGGCTCGCTAGCAACGTAGCAAGGAGTATTGCATTACCACTATCGCCTCTTCTCTACAGTGAGGGCCACAATGGAACAGTGGTATAACTACCAGATCACCAATATGTCGCAAGATTGCAAGAGATTACCACTCGGCTACAGAGATATCACGACCCCTCTGGCCTCATAAGTAACCCTATATTCAGTGCGACAATTCGCTGGGCCTCGTTGGGCAAGTGGTAGCATCCACTACACATGCACAACCTCAATCTCCCATCAGCGTCGGCCGTGTGCGTGTGACAGGCCGAACACTTGCTCTCATCCATTTGGTCCTAAATCCCCCGGGCTGTTCCATCTCGGAGCCCAAGTGGAGCAATACACTGGTCGTGTTCGTCCGAGGACTGAGCCTTTTTTGACTCTTGCGCCTTGCTGGTGGTCCGAAGTTTCCTCCCCCCCACCTGCGTCTTTTACGCTTCTGCTCGAGGTGAGATTCTTTGACCGCTGCATTCTTTTCTTGCGGCTTGCGCGGGTGGGTTCACTAGGTTGTCCGATGTGCTAGGAGGCCTATGACTGGCTGGCGACCAGGTGGGCGATGGATCAAATTGGATGTTGATGTCCCCACGCTGCATGTCACCACTGCGTGATTTTTTCTTTTTTCTTTTTCTTTTTCCCTCTCTTTTTTCATATCATCAGTCAATGTTAATTACTAATAATGGGACCAACTAATGGCAAGATTCGTGCAGAAGCTCCAACTTCATGGAGAACGATGGTGGGTCACTGGCCAATAATAAGAGAGAGAACCTAAACCCGAAGAGAGATTGCGAGTGACAAGTTACTATATCCCTAGTCTCCTTCTCTCTCACACTCTACAGCCAGAGTTGAATGGACGTCACAGACTGGAGAGATAAAACCACCGGTCAGCATGGAATATCCCTATCAAGTTAGAGGTGGGCATGCACGTCTGTCAAGTTTCAACCATAATACCCAGTATCCAGTATCCACAATATCATGACGTTTCAGGCACCTACCTTCCTAGCTTCCAGTATCTCGGCTTTAGATCGGTAGTGGAGTACATACTGCAACAGGCGAACGACATAACATACCGGGCTAACAAACTCTCACTCACCTGCTTGCTGCCTTACCTCCATCATCCCCGCTGCAAAAACCATGTAACTTTACTCTTTGCTCCCGACCTGTGCGCCCCTCCTCCGAACGTGGCATGATAGTCGAGAGCGTATCATATCATCACACAGTGCGTTCGGAGTGGATCGCACCGACCTGGTTTGTCCAGTGTTTGTCGTCTTTGCCCGATTGGGTCCGGACAGTCGTAGAAGCTTGAACGAATTAAAATAGGAGAGAATTGTAAACGATGGGAAAGATGATGGGAGGAGCAGACCACACGGCGGATGCAGTCTGGGAATCATCCACTGATGCCACAGTCCACACCCCCCCCACTCATACTCGTGTGAATTGAGAGGATCACAGCCCCCTTGGGAATTCCTCCCAGATGCAGCCGAGCTAGATCGTCATCAGTGCGTCTGGGAAAGTGAGCGGATTGGCTAAGGGTATAGTGGAAGAGGTCAGATGGAGTATGACGAAGATAGAGGTGGGGTGTGGAAGTGTGATGAACAGAGAGAGAGACAGAGGGGGAGAAGGAGGGGAGGGAAGATGCCAGATGGTGCCTGATTTGGCTTACTCTATTTTTTAATCATTTGGATCTGTATGAATGATATATAAACCTTCCCACCCGGTTCGGACCTGGTCTGTTCTCAGTTTTGAATCCAACCGTCTATTACCTTCCTCTACCTCCAATCTATAACGATATCCGAGAAACCTCCTAACCTCCCAACCACCCACCACATCCACCATGTCTCCCTGCTCCTGCAACTGCTGCCCCGGAGAATGCAACTCTTGCTCTTGCAACTCCTGCACGGTCAGTTTAGCCTACCCCTGTATAGTTTCCGTTCGCAGGACTGACCTCAACAGCACTAAATCAATAATACCATTTCGTTATGACTGTCTGACACCGGGCGACGAGCATTGAGTATGGACGGAGGAGGGCTGAGTCGGAGCTGACTGGCGCACTTGTTAGGCATTGTCGGCCTGTTCTGTATGACTTGCACGACGTGGGATCGAGTGGACATGGGGTTGTTCTTACGATGTGACTAGTTGTTCCGGTTGATCGAGACGTTACGCTTGAATATAACCGCCTTTTGTGCTGAACCTTTGTATTCAATTTGATACTACTGTCTACCGTAGCGAGGGCCTCTTGTCTTGAAACTTTACAGATACCAGGTGCCTCTAGATGAAAGAAGATGAAGTTAGAATGGTGAATAAATGCTACAAATCAAGATTCCTATATGTAGGTAGCGACACACTTAAAACCCAAAGCCTGCCCAACCCATCTTACAGTTCGTCCTTGTTCCGCGGCGGCGCCTTCCCCTCCTGCCCGTCCACGCACACGGCCGGCGTCGTCACCTTCATAGAGTACACACACTTCTCATCCTCGTTGATCTTCAGGATCTCATTCTCCTCGCCACATTCCAACACCACGGTCGTGGATCGGCTGGGTCCTTGCCAACAGGCCTGCCCGTTGGCATACTCCAGGGTCATCTTCTCCACCGGAACGATCTCGCCCGCGTTGTTGAGCTCGTCCTTGGTCACCGACCCGATGCTCACGAACTTGCCCATCCGAACGGAGGAGCCGCCCTTTTTGGAGTTCTGCTTGGTCTGGTCCAGGAAGCAGTGTTCGTACGTGTACTCTCCCGAGTCTCTCGTGGTGCACACGCCCTTCAGCGGCCGCAGGATGGAGCCAGGTCCGTAGTCGGTTTCTAAATCAGATTGGTGGTCCTTCAACTGTGTCTTCAGCTCTCCGAGCCGTTTCTCTTCGGCCTTGACGGCGTCGCGGGCCTCGGTCACGACCTTGGACTCGGAATCCGGGCTGCGGTCCGTCTTGGGCAGGATGTCGTTGTCTTCAAGGAAGCCTCTCAGCCAAAGCACCTTGTTCTCGATGAATCGCACAAAGGAAGGTGGGAGGTAGGCCGCCAGTTTGTAGACTGCAATCCGATTAGCCCCCATCGCGATATCAGCAATCCAATTCACATACCAGTGTCCACTTCGCATCCTTCTTCACCCTCGTTCTCCCAGTGCTCCCAGTTAATGCCGGACTGGTCGTCATCCGGCTTGCTGATCTCGTCCAGGTCGCGATCTCGGGCACTGTTTTCGAGATCCTCGGATGTTCCCCGAGCCGCATAATCCTCCCAGCTGCGCACCGCCCGCTTGACCCCCTCGTCGTTGAAGTTGGGGTTGTACTCGACCTTGAACTTGGACAAGATCTCCTCCAGCTCCTTGACACGAGACCGGGCCTCATCGCGCTCCTTGCGAGTCTCCGTGAGAGCGTCCCGCAATTCCTCAACCCGGGTCTTGGCCAGCCCAACCAAGACATTGACCTTGCCGCCCTTCTTCCCTTTCACGACCTTGCTCGCCTCCTGCTTCTCAATATTCGCCAGGTCGGCTTCCATATCCTTGACCTTAATCTCCTGGCCCTGGATCTCCGCCTCAAGGGCCCTGATCGCATCACTGATCTCCGTCTCTTTCCGCGCCGCTTCCACAAGCAGCGCCTTCTTCTTCTTCAACGCCGTCGTCATGGACTTCTGAGTCTTTTCTTCCTTCTTGCGCCACGCCTTGCCAATCTCCTTGCACCGGTCTTCACACTTCGTGCCGCCCACCCGGGCCCACTCGTCACTCCCGTCGCAGCACAGCTCGTAGTCACAGATCCCGTCGTTGACCCGCTGGAAGGGAACATAAGCCGGCCGATGACCCTTGTTCTTGCAGTAGAATCCCGGCAGGGCGGGGGCCAGCTCCATGTCGCTGTAACCTGGGCGATCCGCAGGCGTCAGAGCGGAGTGACGGGACAGGTGGGAACAGGCCGACGTCCCGGGCTCGTCGCTGCCGTCGGGGCAGTCACAGTAGTCATCGTTAACCGCCGAGAAGGGAATCTCGATCGCCGGATGGGAGATGCAGCTGAAGGTGGTGAGGTCCTTGTAGAACTTGGCAACTATTCGCATAGTTAGTAGCTGTGCTTGAGCCGAGGTGTATGTCGGGGACAACCCCTCCAATAATCGAGGGCTTCTCAATCTACTCCAATTCCTCAACAATAAATATAAAAGAAGACTCACATTCTGGACCAACTCCCCGCGGCCGCGCCGAGCCATCACTGGCACCCTCCACCAGCGTCGAGCACGCGACTAGGCTCGCGAAGAAAAGCGATCCCTGAGGCAATATCATCCTGACAACATTGGGCTTGTGTGCCAATTCCGGGGTAGTGTTCAGGCGAATTGAAGAGAGAAAGAGAGTGTTGGGGGATAGAAGAGAGAGCTGCAGTGGGCGAGGATGGACGATGGACTTGGCCAGCTGTTGACTTACTGTCTCCTTCGAGTCTAGTTGAGTCCGTCGTATTTATTGTATGGACTGCGTAACACTGGTAATTAAGGCAGGAATCTGGGGTGAGCTCCACCTTAGTCATCGTCGCCTTCTTGATCTTTCTTATCGGTGGCGGGCCGCATTTCATTAACCATTCTCTTCGACAGACGTTGTGTCGCAGTACTTTTCCAAACGATGGGTAATGACGGTGGAAGGTGAGAAGATACACCATTCTATGTCTGTGAACTCTGTCAAGATCATTAACTCACCCATCTCTAGTATCCCCACTCGCCGCGAGCTCGTCCGCGAAGCCGCCAAAAACCCCAGCACAGCGCAACTCAAGGAAGCGCAGCGCGAACAACAAGAGCACGCCTGGACGACCTGCCCGCTCTCGCACAAGCAACTCATGCGCCCGATCGTCTCCGACAGCGCCGGGAACCTGTACAACAAAGACGCCATCCTGAAATTCCTCCTCCCCGGCGAAGAGCCCGAGGGGATCAGCTCCAGGGCCGACTGCGAAGAGTTCCTGGGCGGACGGGTCAAGGGACTGCGCGATGTGGTGGAGTTGAAGTTCGAGATTGATACCGAGCGTGAGCAGCATCCGAGTCATAAGCTTGATAGGCGCGAGGGATGGATCTGTCCCGTGACGGCTAAGCAGCTCGGTCCTAGCGTTAAGTCGGTTTATCTGGTTCCTTGCGGTCATGTGTTTTCGGAAGAGGCGGTTCGTCAGTTGAAGGAGGATAAGTGTTTGCAGGTATGTCATTTGCGGGAGAGACAATGCGCGAAGGGACACTTGGACTGATTTCGAGCGCAGTGCAACGAACCGTACACGGAAGACAACGTTATCACTATTCTCCCCGCTAAAGAGAGCGACAAGCAGTCGCTCATCGCGCGCAGTCAACGCCTAGCCGAACTGGGCCTGACGCATTCACTGAAAAAGGCGCCCGGCACCAAAAAGCGCAAGAAGCATGCCAACGGGGAGGCGAAGGTCGTCGCCTCCGAGAAAGCAGCCGGGTCCGGCTCCGACGCCCAACCGCCCAAGGAACAGTCGACCGCCCCCGGACGAAGCGATAAAAGTGTTCCCAACGGAATCAAGAACGCAGCAACCGCCACCCTGACAGCCCGGATCCTGGAAGAGGAGAACGAGAAGAAGAAGCGACGGAAAATGATGGGCGGTAGTGGTACCCTGGACAGTCTTTTCAGCAAGACGGATGGCCGGGAATATTCGAACACCGACTTTATGACGAGGGGGTTTTCGCTTCCTGCGAATGCCCGGAAGTGATGGACTTGCTGCATTGGTTCCAAGGCGTTTCTTAAGGGGGGTTATTGCTTTCTTTACTCTATTTTTCATGTCATATTCTTTTCTTCTATCTTTTTGCACGAAAGGAGTTAGGCTACATAGTACAACGAATCGAGCAATACCAATCAGACCCATCTTTGTTGAATAGTTAATTGTTTTCAAATTTCTATAATACAGAAAGACCTCTCAGAATAAATATAACATGCTACAAGAACGATAAGACAAGAGGGCAGCCGCTCTACTCGATCAGGCCTCGGGCGCGCAGCTCATTCTCAATGACCTTCTTCCGACCCAGCTCTTCATCCTTGTCCGAGGGCTTCTGCCTCTTCGTGAAGATCTTGACGTTCGGCAGGTCAAGGAGGCTCTCGTTACCTGTCAGGTGCTCCGCCAGCTTCTTGGGCTTGGGCTGCACCACGGATTGGATGTGGTTCACGGCCTCCTGCACCGTCGAGATGGATTGGATGACCGGGTCCGGGAAGAATTGGCCGCTCAGCTGGGACAGGCGCTTCAGGTACTGTTGCGCGGAAGTTATGTTAGCCAAATGTCTCTCCTGCACTGTAGCGGACGCAGCAGGAGGGGAGCACTTACGGCAAATTTAAGGGCCGGATCGTTCAACGGCAGGGACAAGAAACTGTTGTCCTTCACATCCTGGTATCCAAAGAACGGCAACCGGGGCCCATCGACCTCCGCCGTCTCCTCGTATTCAACCGCCTCGGCATCTTCCTCTGCGGTTTCCGTCGCTTCTACCGCGGGAGCAGCAGCCTGGGGCTGGCCGCCAATCTGCTCGAAGATGTAGACGAGAGCATTCTGCGCTTCCGTATTCGGGTAGACCAGGGCGTCGCCCCATTGGCCGTTCGTGGTGGGCTGGACCTTGCACTTCCAGAGTAGCTTGAAAACGGGCTTTTCGTGCTCCGCGACATCACAGACGCTCGTCAAGGGCTTGCCGAGGGATTGCATCAGGCAGAGCTCCACCGCGGCTTGGTGGGCGGCCAGAGACAATTGGCCCTTCTTGGTGAGTTTCTTGTTCAGCGAGAACCTATGTAGCACGATCCATCAGCAGGGGTCCCTCATCTCCCAATTGCATCAAACAACGAGGGAAAAAATGGCAGGGAGGAAAGATGCAAATCCTCATATGAAAGGATACAGGGAAAGAACATACGATTGGTACGTATCGACCTCAGAAGGACCATAATTCGACCACTCCCCAAGATGGCCAACACGCGTAAGACCCTCCCACGTAGTCGCCGGCTCATACGTATCATAAGCCGCGACCTCCTCAGCACCAGCATGCTCATGCTCAGCGCCGACAGCCGCCTCCGCAGCCTGCTCTCCCTCCTCCGGCTGAGGCTGATTCTTCCGGAACTTCTTTTCGAAGACGCCCTCCCCTCCATATGGGTCCTTCAAGCCCGGCGGGTTATCCGTGCCCCAGATCTTGCGGCGCACGCGCTCCGTGACCGGGGTGGTGTTGGACGAAGCGTTGCGTAGGAATTGGCGGGCGATCAGCGGGCGCGGACGCGCTTCGTGTTGGCAGACCGTGCAGACATAGAGAGACCGGGGCCCCTGCAGGGACGAGGCCTCCAGCTTCAGTAACCGCAGTGAGGGACGCATGGTTGGCTGCGGTGAATGGGGAGGATTGATCAATCGGCAAATGGTCAGATCGGACGGGGAGAAACTTTGACTTTTTGGGGCGCCGGCGGATAATTCACGTGACTACAGAATATGTATGTATTAGTCATCTGTGTACATAACAATAACTAGGTAACTTGTAGATACAAAGAGTGAAGCCACTGGGCCTCGCTGTGATTTTTATAAGTATTGCCTCTTGAAAAAGTCTGGGATTATTGATATATTTTCAGTAGTCTGATTCAAACGCAGTTTCCTGTTACTGCTGTCGCCGAAACGAGTCGATGCAGCCTTATAACCACCCGTCCCAAAGCCAGCACTACAAGTATACAAGTTCAAAGAGAGACCCGAGAAACAGGATGTGCGGGGCGAGAGCCGCTCAGTCAGTGTAATGCAGCTTCAGAAAACTGGCGACAGTGCTGGCACTATGACACTATTAAGAAACCGAGGAGTTCGTTTTCATATGGGCTCAATCAATACAGTGCTGGTATCTTGTAATCCTTCTAAGCCCACTTTTCATATATACAAAGTTCATACACCCGTTATTTCCCAGTCTATTCCCGCACAAACATGCCGGCCATGCCCATGCCCGTTCCGATACACATGCTGACCACACCGACTTCCTGGCCGGTACGCTGCATCTCTGGCAGTAGGGTCGCCAGCTGTCTGGCACCGGTGGCACCCAGAGGGTGACCGATAGCGATGGCGCCTCCCTTAGGGTTCACCTTGGCTTCATCGATCCCGAGTTTACGGGTGCAGTAGAGCGCCTGGGAGGCGAAGGCCTCGTTGAGCTCCCAGAGGTGCACGTCGCCGACGTTCATGTCCAGCATTTGCAGAAGCTTGGGGATGGCGACGGCCGGACCGACGCCCATCTCGTCAGGGGCGCAGCCAGCCACGGCGGTGCCGACCCAGCGGCCCTGGATGGAGGAGGAAAGTCCCAGTTCGGTAGCGGTGGAGCGGCGCATGAGCAGCGTGGCGGCGGCGCCGTCGCTCACCTGCGAGCTGTTTCCGGCCGTGCTGGTGCCATCTGCCGCAAAGGCGGGCTTGAGCGAGGCCATCTTCTCGACGGAGATGTTGGGTCGGATCCCATCGTCCCGGATCACTGTGATCTCCTGGGGCGGCGCGTCGGGGTTCTCCGGGTCGATGGACCGCGTCTTCACGGGGACGATCTCGGCGTCGAAGCGGCCTTCGGCCTGCGCCGTGGTGGCCTTCTTGTGCGACTCGGCGGCGAAGACGTCCTGGTCGGCGCGCGAGATGCCGTAGCGAGCGGCGACGTTTTCGGAAGTGATCCCCATCGGCATGATGCAATCGCGCGAGTCGTGCGAGGGGGACTCCTTCAATTCGGGCCACAGCACCGTCGGGATGGCGCGCGACCCGTAGTTGCGGGTCATCGACTCCATGCCGCCTCCCACGCCGACGTTGATGGCGCCGGCTCGGATCCCATTCGCGATGGTGGAGATGGCGGCGAGACCGGAGGAGCATTGGCGGTTGATGGTGTGGAAGGGGACGGTGTGGGGGAAGCCCGCGTGGATCTGCGCCATGCGGCCGGCCTTCGCACCGCCGAGCTCCTGGAGGACGGAACCGATGGCAACATCATCGATCAGGGCCGGATCCAACTTCGGGTTGGCCTCGAGGGTGGCCTTGAGCACGTGGGCCAGAAGCTCCTCCGGGTAAGCATCCTTGAACCCGCCTTTCTTCGCACGCGTTACTGGCGTCCGGAGGGAAGAGAGGATGACGATATCAGACGGCGATTTCTGAAGGACTTGGCGGAGTCCCCGCGGAACTGGAGAGGCCATTATATGTAAATTTTATGTAGAGAGATCTCTATAGAGGGATAGATCGATATATGTAGAGTGGTTCGGCAGAGTTATTTCGATCTGCAGCCGATAAGGGTAGATGGCAAGGAAGAGTCACAGTATATTACCCCGCACGAAAGACGTTGGGAGACATGCGCATACTTATACCAAGGAGCACCAGAAGAAAAGAGAGAAAAGAAAGAAAAAAGAGAAGAAGGATCGGGGGGGGGGAAACTCGGTCGGCCATTGAAGCTGGTCCGGCAACGAAGATCGGCTAAGAGCTCATCCGCCGAGGGTAAGGCGCATCGCAGCTAAGGTGGAGACCGGATCGATCAATCGCACTTATGCGGGGGAAGGAAATGGACTATTTGATCCCGCATCCATCGCTGCCATTATCAAGGATTGGATCTCATCTGGAGGACATCGAGGCATGGAGACAGGACAATGAATATATTACAGTTCGGTAGAATCGAGGATGATGGAGGTGCTTACGTCAGCATACCGGGAGGCTTATCGGATAAGATCGATTATGGCGGTATATCGAAAGAGGATAACCGGAGACAACAGTAAAAGGTAAAAATATAAGATAGATTAGAGACAATGAATATGAGAGTAATGTCCAGTAAATTAACGCCGATGCCCTGTTCATAATCTGTCCGAGTGAGGCCTGGTATCTTTACAAAGAAGAAAATCGAGTGAAAATACAACAATCAAAAAGAAAAAAGAAAAAGAGAGGGAAAAGAGCAGTCATCAATCCCGGATGATATGGCTATAGTGACCGGGAACCTTGCGACGGCATTTGTCACAGTCACTTCGATAGCCCATCGAGAATCCCACTTTTTTCTTGCTGGTGGCAGCCGTTGTCCCAGACGATGACGGCTGTGGGGACTCGACGAGGAACCCCCGTGAAGGTCCGTCTGGGGCGACCTGCCATTTTCTGGGCTGATCACGCGGGGAAAGCGGATGGAAGGTCATCTCGATGTCGCTGGGGGAGCACTTCGAGCTGGTCGGATCATCTGCGCCGTCGCTGACCGGACTGGGCAGGCGTGGCACCCACCACCTGTCCAGACTGGGACCGTAGTTGTGGTCCGGAGTCGACGAGGCCATCGCGTCTCCTGCGCCGGATCCCATGGGTTGGAAGTCGCTGATGGTAAGGGACTCGTTGATGCGGCTGGACGGGAGCGGTGATGGCTGGAATAGGTTCGGTGTCGGGTCCGAGTCCTGGTCTGGGTCCAGATGGTGACCGGAGTCCCTCCCACTATCGATGTCCATCTCGGTGCTTGCCGACCGGACACGCGAGGGTAGATCCTGGTGCGCATGCCGGCTGTCTATCCCGGTTGGGGGTCGACTCTTCCGGTCATCCTCGTCCTCGGACGACTCCACCGGGGTCAAATTGGTTAACCCGACTCGGGAGTTGGCCCGGGTGACGGAAACGACGGGGGGCTTGTGTACGGAAGGGGAGGTAGAGGTACGGAGAGTCAACGGACGGAGTCTCTAGCAAGGAAGTTAATTCATCGGACTCGAACTAGAGAAAGGTAGTATGTCACCAACCCACCTTATTTTCGGGATATCTCTCACACGCGTCCCCCCACTCTTCCGTCTCTCGTGGGCGTTTCCCCGAAAAACCGAACATGACGGAGAACAACTGGAGCCAACCCCACCGTCCAATGGAGTGATATGGGTGATCAAACCTCGTGGGGTCGACCTCGGATTCGTGTCCGGAAGGGAGTCGGTCGATTTTCTATCGGGGAAACGCAAGGGGAGAGATCGATCAAATACGCCAATCTGGTCCACCACACGAACATTTAGGAGAACCGAGACATGACAAGACTCGCCGGTGAAACGAGGAGTGATGGTCAAGATAACATTCAATGATTTCATATATAACAAGAATGTAAAAAATACAAAGTAAGATTCCGAGATGAGACCGGGGGAGGTTCATGGCTTAGGTAAGAAGGAGCTGACTTCACACTAGTCAGGAACCATCTCTACTTCTTCTCTTCCTCTCACTTCTCATCTATACATCTATCGACCCACAAGGATTTTCCCCAGTCAGCCGACAATGGTCCTTACTTCCTTGCATCCCCAATGGATGGAACCGTGGATTTCACCTCCCTGATTGACAGCTGACGGTTTTTGTCAATGCACATCAAGCAAGGACCACAGCGAAACGTCAATCGATGAGATCAGCCCAGTCAGCCTGCGACAGCCACCAACTCTCTTCCTCTTTCTCTCTCTATCTCTAGTCAAGTTGAACTTGTCACCAGAGCCCTTAACCAATGTCGGAGGGAATCAGTCCATATCCAGGAGAACTGGATAGTCAGATGGAGAAGAGTACCGGTCGTATTATCACGCTTCATCCTTCGCGCCATGGCCAACGATAAAGACGGAAAGACGGAGAGATGGAGTCGAAAATCCCCACTGAAGAGACCGTCGAGCCAATGGAATCCACGGTCAAGCTGTGAATCATCCAACTTTCGTCTCCACCAGAAAAGTAAAAAAAAATCTTTATTTGAGTGTATTTTTTCTTTTTTTTTTTTTTATTGATGACTCCTCCCGAGCGATCACTGTTTCCCTGATTGTCATCATCTATTATTCTTTGCTCTCTCTCAAAGTTGTTTGTTTCCCTTGGTCAAACCGTGAATTGCTCGTATCTCCCTTGCGTGCAAGAAATTCTATAAGAGATCCCTCTCTTCCCATCCTCGTCCATCGCATCCATTTGATTACCCCTCCACCCGTTCTCCCACATCCCAGAACCCCTCCGTCACATCATGCCTCTCGTCAACACCACCGAAGTTGTGGAGGACAGTCGCGGTAAGCTATCTTCTTCGTTATTTGCGTATACATAGAGATAAGTATATATATTAATCTCTACTCTAGTCTTTGGCTACGACCCGTTGTTGTCCCCTCAGTTCCTGCAAACTGAAATTCCGGCTGTGAGTCATACCCCTCTCCCACCATCCCTTTCCCCCAGACTCTCGCAATCCAATGTGTAGAGACGAGACTGATCGTTCTCGATATAGACCCCCGAGGTCCTCGAGGCCGTCAAGGCCGGTCGCAACCAGGCCGTGGAGATCATCGAGCAGCGCGATGATCGTCTTCTGGTCGTCGTCGGCCCCTGCTCCATCCACGACCCGGCTACCGCCCTCGAGTATGCCTCCCGTCTGAAGGAGCTTTCCCAGAAGCTGTCCTCGGATCTCTGCATCATCATGCGGGCCTACCTGGAGAAGCCCCGCACCACCGTTGGCTGGAAGGGCTTGATCAACGACCCCGACATCGACGAGTCCTACAACATCAACAAGGGCCTGCGCGTCTCGCGTAAGCTCTACGCCGACCTCACCAGCATGGGCATGCCCATCGCTAGCGAGATGCTGGACACCATCTCCCCGCAGTACCTGGCCGATCTCATCTCCCTCGGCGCCATCGGTGCCCGCACGACAGAGTCGCAGCTGCACCGGGAGCTGGCCTCCGGCCTGAGTTTCCCCATCGGCTACAAGAACGGCACGGACGGCAACATCACGGTCGCCATCGACGCCATCGGCGCCGCTGCTCACCCGCACCGCTTCCTCGGCGTGACCAAGCAGGGCGTGGCCGCCATCACCAAGACCTCGGGCAACGAGCACGGCTTCGTCATCCTGCGTGGCGGCGCCAAGGGCACCAACTTTGACCGCGACAGCATCCGCGCCGCCCGCGAGTCGCTGCGCGCCAAGAAGCAGCGCGAGATCGTCATGGTCGACTGCTCGCACGGCAACTCCAGCAAGAACCACCGCAACCAGCCCGTGGTCGCCAAGGAGCTGGCCGACCAGCTCCGCGAGGGTCAGGACGCCATTGTCGGTGTCATGATCGAGTCCAACATCCACGAGGGCAACCAGAAGGTCCCCGCCGAGGGTCCCTCGGGCCTGAAGAAGGGTGTCAGCATCACCGATGCCTGCATCGACTGGGAGACGACGGTCCAGGTCCTGGAAGATCTGGCCGATGGTATCCGCGGGCGGAGAGCCGCCAAAGCGTCTGCTTAAACTGAATAAATAAAATTAGGAAAAAGGTCGAGGCAAAATCAAAAGGCATGAAATGAATGAAATCCAACGCAAATCTAAATTAAAATAAAAATCATTCCGTAGACTAGGCTAGGATTCGTGTTACTAGCGGTTTTCATGTAGGTAGTAGATACCCATGTCACCGTGCGCTTTGTTCGTCTGACTAGGGCTTCCACAATACCTCTTTTCTTCTCTCTTTTTTACTTCTGCTGCTTTTGAATTAACGACACCCGTCATAAATCCGAGGTTATCTCCGTGACGATGGTTGAAGCAGGGCACCACAAGAAAGGAAAAAAGAGAAAGATAGATAGATAAATCCACACCGATGCTCTATTTTGCGACAACAAAAAGTAGTATATGTACACAGTATAGCACAGACCCAGTATTACATAGGTTTTTTTTTCAATCAAGAAAACAACACACCGAACAAGACGCCGCAACCCCTTCCCAGATCAACCGCCGGATTGGACTAGAGGAAGGGGTCGAAATCAATCCAAATGCCATGCACAACAAGAAGTAAGTCGACGTCGTCGCCATCACAGCGGGGGAGAGGAAGGGAAAAAGAAAAGGTCTTCCCTGCTGGGCTTGTTTCCTCTTTTTATATTCCTCGTTTTTGTTTTTATTCTCTTTGGGGCACTCTTCGCTTACCGCCCGGTCAGCCAGCTCTTCCAGCTTTGTGCCGTTTGCTTCGTGGCGTCCTCTGCGTTCTGTGCCAGTGCGTCCAGTGGTCCCGAGGGTGCTGCACCGTTAGGTACACTCAGTTTGGCTTCTTGCGCGGCCTTCGCGTCAAGGGCCTTCAGAACCTCCGGCTTGTCGCGCGCGGCCGGGGTGGATGTGGTGGCTTCGTCCGTCTTCAACCCGCCGAACAGATATTCCTTGAGTTTGTTCAACGGGCGCTCCTTCTTAGCCTCCTCTTTCTTCTTGTCCCAGATCTCGCCGATCTGCTCATTCCGCAACAGTTCCAGTTGCTCCGGGGTCGCTGCCCCGTTGGCGTGGGCCGTCTTCGCGTCTTGGAGCGTCTGGAGCTCCCGCTCGATCCAGAGTGTCCGCTGGCGCCGGTTGTAGAGAGTGAGTGATACCATCGAGTAGACCGTCAAGGCGCCGCAGATACCTAGTCACGAACTGTCAGTCCAACCGCAGCTATCTCGGTGTCCCCCCCGGGAGGTCCGCTGGAGCATATATTATAAGGAACATACCCGACGCAGCAATCAAAGAATACACCATCGTCTTATGCGCTTTATTGGCAAACCTCCGCCCGACGTCGATCATCTGATCCATGCCCGAGGACGATCGTGCCATACGAGCTGCCCGGGCCTGTGCCCGCAATCGCTCGACCTTCTCCTTGGGGGTCTCGGGTTTCCCGTCGGGTCCGGTCTGCTGTGACTGGGCATTGGAGCCCTGGTTGGCCATGGAGCCTGGGAGCTTGTAGGGGGCGGCTGCGGGCCGGGAGTTGGCGTAGGGGCCTGTGGCCGTGAACCTCGTCGCGTCTGCGGCGGAACGGGACATATTGGGTGTGGGTGAGAGTGTGTTATTGGGTAGTTCAATCGCGTCAATGCTGGGCGGGGACGGAGGAGGTTGTTGTTCGTGAGGTGCGTCGTATGATGTCCTTTCTGCGTTCGTCTTTTGGATCCCGGGCAGAGGGGGGTGGGCTTTCACCACAGCAATCTCATCGATGGGGATGCAATTCGGCAGGGAGAGGCGAGGTCTATGGGACGGGCGGGCGAGAGTCGGTGGGTTATGGGGATAATATAAATCAGATGAGGGATGAGGTGGAGAGACTGCGAGAGTTACCGGGAAATTTTCATGAGGAAAGTCGGGAATGGAGCTAAGCCAAGACAAGGCACTCAGGCCAACACCAACCCGATCTCACTATTAGTCAGTCGGAAGTATAACATCATTCATTCAACTTCAACTTCATCTTCATCCTCTGCGTTCATGGGTTTGTTATATGGTCCACACTAACACTCCTTGCTGTATAAATGGAGTCTCAATCATATAATGCAGCGGACTTGACGTCTGTCCTGCGCACCCTCTCAGCCCTATCATCGAATCCCCCACCGCCAGAGAAGGACTCTCCAGCGACAGCGCACCGCACCCATGTCAAGGACGATGAGCTCGAGGAGGAAGATACATACGAACCAACAGATTCCCTCCCTATCTCTGCTCCAACCCCAGCTCCACAGACACCGCAAGGAAAACAACAACCTTCTTCCTCCCATCGCCCCCCACAACCAGCGCAACAACACCCACCACCACCACCACCACCACCAGGAAACAAAGTAGACATCTCCACAATAACAACCTGGCCCTCTGCCCTCCGCCACGTAATGCGCACAGTCGGTCAAAACGAATCCATCCAGCAGCGCATCCGCTTCCTCATCCAACGTCAGCACGACCACGAAAAGCAGTGGTGGCGGGGGCGTGTCGCATTAGTTGAGAAGCAGAAGGCGCGGGCAGAGAAGAAGAAGGAGTTGGATGAAGTTTTGTGCGTTCCTTATATTTCTTACTTATGGTTTCATCTATTTTTTGTTGTCTGAGTGAGTGAATGAGTGAGTGACTGACTGACCATGGATGATCGCTAGACGCTCTGTCGGTGCACCTGTGGACTCCAAACAGGTTTCTGTATGTTTATCTTTTCTCCCTCCCCCTTCCTCTCCCTCCCTCCCTATCTTCCTCTCTACAGAAACCATCATGGAACTAATACCCAACAGACAGCCGAAGAAGACCGCGCAGAACTAACCAACTACGACACCAAAGTCTACCGGGCATCAACACAGATGGCCGACGCAATGGTGGGCGAGCTGCACGCGCTACAGATTCCCTTTTTTCACCGCATCGAGCGGCCATCAGCGCATGATCCGGCGGGAACAACTCCTCGCCGTGCGGGCACGGACGCGCCGACGGTTTCCCTCTCGGGTGATGAACTGGTTACCCTCCAGCGGAGAATGCTGGAATTGTTGCAGGATCTATGTAAGGAGTGACCGGTCATCGTGTCTTGATGAGGATCCGAAAGGGGAAAGATCATTCATGCTAAGAACGACATTACTCCACAACGAGGGCCAGACCAGGTACATGATAGCCTCCCTCGTCACTACCCATTACTCACTATCCCATGGAAGGGGAGAGCCAAGCGACGCTCCTCGGTGACAGTGACAGTGACGGTGACGTGATATCAGCCAGACCCCCGGGGCTCGCATTAGCTTATTATCGATCATTATGTACACCGTAAGAAATCTATCCCTAGCTGAAACCGTCTATCTCCATTCGCCTAAGGGGAAGAAAAGAAAGAAAGAAAGCAAGCATGCTGCGCTCCCAACGACAAATTTACAACCCACCCACCCGTATATGCAATACCAACCCATCCCGAGAAAATACGATGCACCGGTTACAACCACAATAGGGTTCAACGGAAGACAACGGGGGAACAAAAGGCCGAGAACCCGTCGGCCGGGGGGGAAAAAATATTTAGCTTATCCATGATGGAAGAGCACTTGAGAAAGGATCGTGAAGAAAGGAACCAAAGATCAATCGCGGAACGCCTCGAATGCAAAGCAATGAACACCAATTCCACAGATGACTCATGCGCTGGAAGAGACGAACGGCTCGGCAGCGCTGATGCCCGAGCCGATCAGATGCCAAATATGGAAGAAAATCAATGATAAGTCAATAGATGAAAGCCGCTACGGTTGTTCCGACACGGCAATCGCCACGGCCACGGCTGCACCGAGGATGGCACTTTCGGGGGCCGGGTCGAGGTGGATCAGGGATGGTGAGGGATCGAGGAACTCACGGGACGCGGCCGTCTCGTGGGTGAGTTGGTCGAGATAGGCCTGGCAATGGTCCCGGAATCCCGGATACTTGTTGATGACGCTGCCGTCGCAGGCGATGGACAGGCTCCGCGGATCGCCCTCGCGTTCGACGACGGTGACCTGCTTCGGCGCCTTCCCTGGGACGGTGTCCGCGGGGGATTCGGCTTCGGCTTCGGCGTCGTTGTGCAGGGACCACATGCTGTGGATGGCGGTCGCCAGATATCCGGCGGCGCGCCGCGAGACGGTCTGGCAGACGCGGCGCAGGAAGCGCATATCCTCGGGGCGGGGGGCGTGGGTGGCGGGGTGCTCCTTTTGCAGCAGAGCGGCGGAGATGGTGAGCTGGGGGGAGGGATCGGCCTCGATGGCGGCGAGGAGGCTGGTGTCGAAGGAATAGGCGTCGCGCATGGAGTGGGGCAGTTCGCCTCGGAAGAGGTGGGCGGTCTCGACGGCCTCGACGATGACGAGGCGAACGATTTCGCCAAGGTAGCGTCCGGTGATCATGTACTCGAGCGGCTGATAGCCGGGACGGAGGTGCGTCCCATTGAGGATCTCGTCCCAACGCGTCTGGGGCAGGACGGCGCCGCCGAACATGCTCAGTTCGGTGTTGACGATGACGTGCGGGGCGCCCTCGAACCAGGCGGGGGGCCGATCGCCGAACTTGGCGCGGCCGATGCGATCGACAGGGTAGTGGATGGCCATGTTGGTGCCGGTGCCGAGGATGAGGGACATGCGCGTGGTGGGGTCGACGTAGGCGCGGGAGAGGAGAGTGGCAGAGCCGTCGTTGACGATGGCGTCGACGGCGACGGAGAGGTTGCGGCGGCGGCAGGCCTCGGTGATGAGCTGGCCAAGTTCCTGGCCGACAGTGCCGGTGGAGCACATGAAGCCCTTGCCCATGTGGATGAGCAGGCCGGTGTTGTGAGAGGTTTGTTCGAGGGGGAAGGACCAGGAGAGGCCGACAGAGAGCGGAACGGGCCCACGGCCGTCCTTGGCGTCGACCTCGGCCAGCATGGTGTCGATGTGACTGGCCATCCAGTCGAAGAAGCGGGTGCCCTTGAGCAGCTTGACCTCCTCGTCGATGGGGGTGGAGGCGACGTGACGGATATCCATGGTGCCCTGGCCGGCGAGGTGGACGAGGGAGATGCGCAAGGTGGAGCCACCGACGTCGAGGGCTAGGAAGGTGCCTGTCTCTGCGCCGGTGGGCAGGGTGCGGGTGTAGGAGGGCAGCATGTTGATCTGGCTGGACTGGAGGGCAGCGGAGAACTGCGCGCGAAGCTGGTCGGACATGGCGCACATGGTGGGTGGGGTCAGGGGAGCGGTAAAGAGGCGATCAACCTCATCGGCCAAACTGTCGAGGGAGCGACGACGCCAGTAGGCGGGGTGGAAGGGACTGGGACGCGTCCGGAATGGATCGCGGAAGAGGGCGGGGAAGAGCAGCATGGTTTCGAGGGCGGCGACGAGGTTTGCGACAAGATCCTGCAACCTCCGCAGGAGTTTGGCCAGGGTCATGGCGGGGTTTTTATAAACCGATCACCACGGAGGGGGCGTGGTTGAGGCAAAGAATGACGATATCGAATGACAATGGGGGGGGTTGACTCATCCGGACATGTGTTGATATCAAGAAGGAAGGTGTGTGGGGGAGAAATGTTTGCGGGGAGAGAGATCGAGAGATCAAGAGAGGAAGGGCGATCCGGGAAGACAGGGAAATATAGGGAGGGATGACGACGGAGAGGAGCAGCAAGGAGAGAAAGAGAGAGAGGGAGATACAGGCCGAGCCGATCGACTGGTGATGAGACGCAGGCGTCAAAGTGGTAACATGGAGGAGACGCAAGGGTAGCAGCGGTGGAGGGGGGAATCAACCCTGCGTGAAGTGCAGTGGGGGGAGGGTCAGTGAGGCGTCGAAAGGAGGAAGCAGTGGCGTCAAGGTGGAAGTCGAGGTGATTGTGTTATTGAGTCGAGATGTGGAGTGTATCAAGGTGTAGAGGTGGGAGATAGAGGTAGTAGTGGAGTCGCGATGGTGTCGTGGTGGGGAGAGTGGTATCGATGACACCAAACGATCACCTGGAACCAGACTCGGAGGTCTGATCCGAAGTCCAATCAGGGGGGGGAGATGGAAAGAATACGAGAATGATCGAAGAGGATAAGAATGGAGAAGAGGAGAGAACCGAGAAGAGAAGAAAGAAGAGAGAAGTGAAAGACAGAAAGACAGAAAGACAGATAGAAAGATAGAAAGATAGAACAATCAAGATCAAAAGACAGACAGATGGAGAGAAAGAAAACAAAGAGAAAGAAGAGTAAAATACGGTAAATACCAGAGAACGACACTACGACCCTGGCGAGACTGGAGTGCAACGGTGGTAATCAATTCCGCCATGAAACCGACACCGTTACACCTCTTTCTCTCGACCTTTCTCTTTGACCTCACTTCTTGACCTCACCTCTTGACTTCAATTCAATTCTAAACTCTCTCCACTCTATATCATCTTCTATTATTCCCATGATACCCTACCCACAAATGCATTGTATCCCCCATGAAAGAAACTTTGCCCAACTCTGGTCCCAAATCTGGTTCCAAAGAGGAGGTCACATCGACCGATGTCACTCCGGGGGATTAATCAATCTCCCGTCCCTGGTCGGCTCTGCTTCTTGAATACTAGACTGAACTTATTCATCATTAATCATCTGCCAGGGACTCAGGACCGCTGCAGGTCTTTCCCCTTTGGGGCTCGCGTCCTTGGCATCGGGGCTCGTTGTAACCACAATCTGTGCCCCCTGCTCTGGCTACCCTGTGGCTCGTGAACTATGAACCCATGAACCACCATGATCTTGGAAGATACCTATCATCCTATCGTCCTATCATGCACGGTGTATGGTGTATGGCACGGTCATGGGAGTCGGTCAGATCTATACATCCTTTCTTCTCGCTTTGTCAGATGAGAAATCACGGGGAAATTCCTCTCCGGACCTGGATCTACACAGAGATAGAGAGACACACATCGAGAGAGATAGAAAGTCTCACAGAGAGATAGAAAGATACACACAGGGAGAGAGTCGGATGAACCCCCCGGACCCCGACAGCGGGGTCAATCTCTCCTCCTGCCTCGGTTGCCAGGATCAGATAACTGCCGACGTTCCTCAGCATCGCTCTCCCCCATCCATCCAAAAGGTAACCCATCCTGAAGATCCCTTTGTCAAAGCTCTCGTAGTCTCGTACCGTTGGGCCTGCCCTGCACAAATCACCGTGATCCATCCCCAGTCGATCCCCCCCTGACCCGCCCTGATGCGGGGCCGCAACATCCTGTCCAAGGCTCCAAGGCTCCAAGGCTCCAAGGCCCCCATGGACGTTGGTTTCTAAACTTCTTCCCCATCCCCGAATCAAGACGGTTTCCTGCAGAATGACCCAGTCGATGATCAAGCTTCGATCCCCGTCGCTTCCCGACCCTTCAGGGTCTGGGACGAAATTTTTCTAGATGTTGCGTGCCTGTCAATTGGAACCGTTGTCGATCCCAACCCCCCCGTTTCCCAACCGCAGGCCTCCCCTCGTGATTTGAACGACATGCTCGTGGCGCGCTGATCGTCGTCCTTGGGTCGATCTGCACCACCATACCCAGGACCCGAGGCCCTCAATGCCGATGCGGGCTTGTTAGCAGGTCCGAGGCGCTCCAGGGCTTCTCCTGACGAGATCCTCAGGAATCCTCGTCGGCCACAATTTGTCACCAGCCCCAGCCGTTGCACAACAACGGACCAAGGCAGAACCTCTTCCCCCCTGCAGACCCCTCAAGAGGCCTGACACGATGAGATTCGGTCACCCTGTATCTACGGCGCTGCTGTCGTGGCTGGTCACCTGCCCGGCTGTGTTAGGAGCAGCTCTCCCCCGAGCCGATTCGTCCTCCCACAACGACCTGGAATCCATCCTCGCCGGTCACGCCAACGGAAGCGACGACCGGACGTCACGAACCGCCGCCGCCCTCGCGTCCAGGATCGCAGATGCCAACAACCAGCCGGACCCAGGAGACCGGTCCATGCACCAGGCCTGGGGAAAGATCGAATCCATCTTCAACCACACCGATCGCGCCGATCAACCGGACCTCTTCGACTATGCTGATGGTCTGGTCTCGCTGGACCTGATCCCGTCCGACATCCTTTCCTTCCTGAACGGCTACCTCGACTGGAGCATCAATTCCATCCACAACCGGAACCCAGCCGTGCCCGACGCCGGCATCTACCCGTCCAAGGATCCCGCCGATGCGCCCTATAGCGTCGCCGAGGCCGACCTACGCGCGGCCATCCACATCCCGGAGGATTTCTCCTACGGCCGGCAGGGCAAAAAGCCCGTCATCCTGGTACCGGGCACGGCCATCCCGGCCGGCACCACCTACCACTTCAACCTGGGCCAGCTTGGGCATGCCGCCCCCGAGGCCGACGTGGTGTGGGTCAATATCCCCCAGGCCTCGCTGCGCGACGCCCAGGAGAACGCCGAGTACGTGGCCTACGCCATCCACTACATCGCCGCGCTGTCCCACACCTCCGTCTCGGTCATCTCCTGGTCCCAGGGCGGCCTGGACACCCAGTGGGCGCTCAAGTACTGGCCGTCGACGCGGGCCCAAGTGGAAGACTTCATCGCCGTCAGCCCCGACTTTCGCGGCACGGCGGTCCGCTCCATCGTCTGCCCGGCCCTAGACCTGCTTGTCTGCACCCCATCGCTCTGGCAGCAGGGCTGGGAGACCGAGTTCATCCAGACGGCGCGGGCCGACGGCGGCGACTCGGCATATGTCCCCACGACGACGATCTACTCGACCTTTGACGAGATTGTGCAGCCCCAGAGCGGCGACGACGCCTCGGCCCTTCTCAAAGACGCGCGCTCCATGGGGGTATCCAACAACCACCTCCAGACCGTCTGCGCGAACCGCCCCGCCGGCGGCATCTACACGCACGAAGGCACGCTGTACAACCCGCTCACGTGGGCGCTCATCATCGACGCCCTCACCCACGACGGACCGGGTGATGTATCCCGCCTGGATCTGGACGCCATCTGCCAACAGGTGCTGCCCAAGACCCTGGGATTGGATGATATTCTCGGCACCGAGGGGATCCTGCTGGTGGCGGTTGCCGAACTGCTCCTTTACGTGCCCAAGGCTTTTAAAGAACCCCGCATTGCAGACTATGCCGCCTAGTTCGTCTTGAGGGACGGAGCAGATCGTAGCTAGACAATGCGGAGAGCGTCAAGAGACCCGAACGAATGGGTCGCCTTGCATGGGCAGATAGACAGGTAGGATGATATTTATAATCTGTTGTACTGAGTATAGGGTTACTTACGAAGCCCCTAAGTGTGTGATATCTTTATAACCTAATGGTGGTTAAAGTAATATAATATAAAAAACCTTAGTGTATTATCTGGTTACATCTAGCGTCGTCTCTCTAGCGTTGTCTCTCTAGCGTTGTCTCTCTAGCGTTGTATCCTGTCTGTCTGTTTCCTTCCCGAGTAGATCTATCAATTCAATCTATCTACAGTAGGAGTAAATTAAAGTAAAGTATAGAGTAGAGATTCTCCCATTTCAATTAAGTTTGTACTGTATTTCCCGCCAACGCTGTATATTACCCAGAAAGAATACCACCACCACCACCACCACCACCAATAGACCCGAGAAAGAGGGAAGTGAGAGGATGGCCGAGGTCAAACCCCTATGTTCCTAGTACGCCGAACGCCAGGAAAACAAAACCAACAAACCTAGAAAGAAAGAAAGAACGGAAAAAAAAGAAGAAAAAAAAGAAAAGAAGAAAAAAACAATCAAGAAGGAAAGAAGGAGGTATGGAGAAAATTTACATTACCAATCTCAACTCCTTAACCCTTCCAAGTATCTGTGACACCCTCGCCAGACACTCATCTTCAGGGCTTCGAAACTTGATAGGATCTATCATTTGATGTTCCAAATCGAGGAAGAAAAAGCAGGCAAAACCAATGAAAAGAAACAAAGAACGCCAAAAGAAAGAAGAAATGAATGAGAGAGGTGGAAAGAAAACCTACATAACCAACCTCAACACCTTCGCCTTCCTCCCAAGCATATGCAACTCCCTCGCCAACCGCTCATCCTCCCGAACCTGAAACTTCACCGGTCCCATCATCCGCTGTTCCAGATCGCGTGCCACCCTCCGCAGCGTCTCGTCACTGAACATGACCATGCGGAGACGAATATTAGCCTCGTCGAGCTTGATGCCGGTGCCGCCCTCGCCGCCGAAGAAGAGCAACGGCAGGGACCAGAGCTCGCCGATCTCCAGACGGATAGGCCAGTCGTAGATGCGCATGTCGACGTGGAGCACGCGCAGGCTCTTGAATGCTAGCGCCATGTCCTCGCAGGCGAGGTAGAAGGCCATGTCGCTGCGGGCTTTGTAGATTCTGAATTCCGTGAGACGAGGCTCGTTGTACATGATGTGCCTGAGCTCGACGTGGCGGATGGAGGCCTGCGCGTCGGCGGGCGTGATCTTGATGAAGCGGGCGATGGCGTTGGTGGTCGTGAAGACGAATTGGGTGTTGGCGTAGAGGAGGAGGATGGTGTCGGAGTAGATACTGCGGCAGGTGAAGATGAGCGCCATGGGGAGTCTCTTGAGCCACCAGCGGCCTGGCCGTTCGGTGTTTCCCTGGCTCTTGTCCTCGCGGGGCCGCAGTCTCTTGTTGTAGAGGCGGTAGCGGGGTTTCTTGGTGCCTTCTGTTCTTTTGTCCTTCTTGCGAACGATTTCGATCCGGTAGGTGGTGAAGAGGTGGGCGTAGATCTTGAGGCGGAGTTCGGCTGGTAGGCGCTGGAAGCCTGAGGACGAGGGGGTATTGGTTTGGGTCTCGGGCTCGAATTGCATCGTGTCTCTGGTGGAATCTCCTTTTCCCATTAGGGTCGAGCTCTGTCCTGCAGAGGGCATTGGTCTATTCCAGATATCTTTACATTGGGATGGCTTGGCTGGAGCGGTTTTGGCCGGAGCACTACTCTTGCCGGTTGTAGGATGACGTCCAGATCTCCGTGACGCTGGATTGGATCCGGTCGAGTTCTAGTCCAACATGAGTAGTTAGCCAGCAAATCAGCGTTACTTGATGTTGAATGCTCATATACCTCTTGAGATGCCGGCGCTCGAGTACTCTGGCTTTGGGAGGGTCCTCCTGAGTTAGAATGCTGTGGTTGAGCTGAAGGGTCATTGGGTGAAGGCCTTCTGGAATTTCTCCCATTATGATGTTTACCGCCAAAGCGAGAAGTGACGGGATACATGTTGAGAGGTGTTGTGAGTTGATCGATGGGTTGGATGATGGAGTTGACCGGAGGGTTGAGGGTTTAAATAGTACGATAATCAGTGGGAAAGGACAACCTGGTCTCAGTCAAGAAGTGAATTAGAGAAGGCAGTCACTACAGGGAAGGAGTGATTCACAGAGTGAAGGAGAGAGTGAAGATGAAGCAATCACCATCCATCTCATCTTCATCGAGATATCCAGATCTATATCGACCCAATCGGGCTAGACCGGTAATATATCCGTCATGGGGGCGTATTGTACGGTACGGGGTGTCTGCCGGAAACAGGCATCCAGGCACTCAGGCACGCTGCAACTTTTCTCTTTTTTTCTCTTTTTTCTCCACGAAATCCGACAATCCGATTGACTTCTCGATCTTCAATTTCATTCTCCTCTTCTATTCTTCTCTATCTTCAATTCAATTGTCCTCTCCCACCCTCCCCCCTCAACCACTCATCAACCCCCCCAATGTCCCTCGCTGTGCCGGCGTTTCGTCCCTCGTCCTTATTACTCTCCCGACCCCACCGGGTGTTGCGACAACTACCTCCACTTGGCTCTTTCGCCCGTCCCTCTTCCTCTTCTTCTTCCTCCTCCTCCTCTTCCTCTCCCTCTCGTCCGTCCGCCTCCCGCTCTCACTACAGTCGCTCCGAGTTCAAAGTCTTCCCCTTCTTGGCTCTCTTCGTCATCGGCTCCGGTTCTTACGTCCTCTTGGTGAAATCCCGCACTGGTGCTCGCAAACCCGACTCGTCGCCCCGCTCTCCTGATTCTTAGGGGGTGTTCTACTATATACAATCCGATTATCCTCTCTCAATCCAAACCACACCGACAACCTCACCCCTTCCAGATCAATAAAGAAAAAAAACAAAAAATAAATACATAAAAGAAACAAGAAAATGTCTTCCGAATCCACCCCCCGCTTCTCCCCCTCCGACGTAACAGTCGTCTTCCTCCTCGGCGGCCCCGGCAGCGGCAAAGGCACCCAGTCCAACAACCTCGTCCGGGACTACGGCTTCATCCACCTGTCCGCAGGCGACCTCCTCCGCGCCGAGCAAATCCGCGAAGGCAGCCAGTACGGCGCCCTCATCAAGGATTACATCCGCGAAGGCAAGATCGTGCCGATGGAGATCACCGTGGCGCTGCTGTCCAACGCTATGGCCGACGCCCTGCAGAGCGGGACCGTCCCCGAGGGCCACCGGCCGCGGTTCCTCATCGACGGGTTCCCGCGCAAGCTGGACCAGGCTGTCTTCTTCGAGAAGACCGTCTGTCCGTCGCGGTTGACGCTCTTCCTCGATTGTCCCGAGGAGGTCATGGAGTCGCGGCTGATGAAGCGCGGTGAGACCTCTGGTCGGGACGACGATAATGCCGAGTCGATCCGCAAGCGGTTCCGTGTCTTTGTGGAGACTAGCATGCCTGTTGTGACGGCTTTTGCGGAGCAGGATAAGGTTGTTAGTGCGTTGGCGACTGGGTCTGTGGATGATGTTTATGCTCGGATCCGGGAGGGGTTCACTGCCCGTGGCATTAACCCTATCTAAGCTTTTTTTGTTCCTATCTTCTTCTACTCGACTGTGTTATAGATCTGTCATTTAATTGTCTGTGTTTAGGCGATGATTCATATAGAGTCTACTTCTTTCTTTCTGATCTTAGTGGGTAGTTTAATGGGTAGTTTATTGGGTAATAGGGTAGTACTATAGTACGAGATGTAAACAACTCTTTTAAGTGCATCACCATTGATCAGCCCGTCCAAACAATAAGAGATGGATCAAAACATATAAACTACCATTCAGCCGACAGAAACAGCGTCGTCCTGAATCAACCAAAAGCGCAAGGGGGAAATGAACAAGATTGAAAAAAAAAAAAAGAAAAATAATAAATAATAAGAATAAAAAGTAAAAAACAAACATGAAACAGTTGAATCGTGTCAAGATGAAACAAACAAAATGAAACATATAGTGGGAGAGACATGGATGGGACAGACAGTCCATCCATCCATATCGTCGAACCTCATGCAAACCGTGACCCCATCCCTTCTTCGATTTTTAATTTCGTTGGTTTTCTTTTTGCGGTTCTGGTCGTCCATGTTCTGTACGAGAACTCGTCATGATTTCTTTTTCTGTCATTCTCGCTTTCCATTTGCTTCTATTTCCATACTATAGTTTTTTGGTTTCATAAAGTGTAGCAAAGGAGTTTAAAATGAAAAAGAAAAGGATAGTTTATTCGGCGACCGCCTCAACCGGAGCAGACGGCTGCGACGCCTGCGGCTGGCGCGGTCGTCGGTCGATGGGCTTGCCACCCTTGTTGTCCCCCGACTTGGCTCCCTCCTCGGCGGCCTGCGCGGCCTGGATGCTCTCGCGCACGAAGCGTTCCCGCTCGCTGCGGACGGTGGCCAGGACGTGCTCGAGGCTGCGGCGCCAGACCATCAGGCGGCCCTGCACCTCGGCCCACTGCTTCTCGCCAAAGACGCGGTAGGTGGCGCGGTGGACGAGCAGCTCAGAGCGCAGCTGGGACAGCTTGCCCTCGACGAGGCCGGCGCGGATGGTGTCGATGACCCACTTCTCGACGTCGGCGTCGGGCACGCGCAGGGCACTGGCGATGGTGGCGTAGGGCAGGGAGCGCGACGGGGTGGAGGCGGCCAGGGAGGCCAGGGTCAGCAGGCGCATCTTGGTCTGCAGGGCGTCGCCGGCGTCGGCGAGGACACCGCCGGAGATGGTGGCGAGCGGGGTGGACTGGATGAAGGCCTCGTAGGCGTCGAGGGTGTCGGCGGTGAAGACCTCGAGCAGCTCGAAGAGGGTGGCATCGCTGGCGCGGAGGGCCTGGACGGCGTCGGAGGCGGTCAGCGGGGTAAAGTCGAAGACGGCGGGGTGGGTGAGAGCGGCGGTCAGGGCGCGGACGGCGAGGTCGCGGGACGCCGGGGCGGCCGCCTGGGCGGCGGGGATGGTCTGGAGGGCCTGGATGATGTGCGTCTGGGCCAGCTCCTGGTCACCGGCGGCCTGGGCGGCGTCGACGACGGCCAGGTGCAGGCGCTGGGTCTCCTCGTCATCGAGCTCCCAGGCGGACAGCCAAGCGGGCAGCTGGGCGGTCAGCTGGGGCTTGAGGGCCTCGAAGGCGGCGGCGGAGGCGGCCTGGCGGATGACGGCGACGATGGCCAGGAGGACGTGGAAGCGGCTGGAGTCGGCGTCGCCGAGGGTGTTGAAGATGGTGGACAGGATGGAGATGGCGAGGGAGGGGCCGAACTGAGGGGAGGAGGCGATGGGCTTGGAGAGGTAGGCGCAGATGCGGGAGAGGAACATGTCGGGCTCGGAGGCTTGATGGATGAGGTGGATGAGAAGGTTGTAGGCGGGGGTGATTTCTGCATTTATCCAAGTCAACTTCTTTTGATCTTTCGACCTTTTTGTATGGGAAGTGCAATACCCTTCTCAGGCGCGCTATTCAAGACGGTGGCGGCGGAGACGATCTTCTTGAGAACCTCATCGCGCTGTTTCCGGTCGGGCTCGGAATCGGTCTGTTCCTGCTGGCGCAGGGGCTCGAGGAGGGGGCTGATGTCGGCCTGGAGACTGGCGGCGTCGGATTTGCGGACGGCATCGACGTACTGGGCGAACTCGTCGGCGAGTTCGGAGAAGGAGCCCTCGATGAGGAGGGTGTTGGTGGGGGCGGGCATTTTGTTTTCTGTAGGGGGTAGGAAGGGCGGGGGAAGAGGAAGAAAGGAAGAAGGGGAAAGAAAGAGAGGAAGAGGGAGGTCCAGAGGGGGGGATCAAGTGAAGGGAATGAAGTGGAGAATGAGATGAAGTTGAAGATTTGAACGAATTTCTTTCTGTGGGAAATTCTCTTGGCGTGGGTGCCTGGGGCATCGACTCTCCACTTTCTCCATTCATACTTTGTGACTTGTTGCGATTCGTCCTTCTCGACCATTCAATTCAGTACTCAATTCAATCATTCATACTTCAATTACGGTACTCTGGGAAGAATCAATAATTACGATTCCATTAGAGAGCGACGAAGGGCAACGATCCCGATTATACATAAAACATGCAGTTCATCAAACCCATGCCCGCATAGTAACAAAATACAAGGCTAAGTCAAATACAAAACGTCCATTTGAGACACCCCATTACTGGACCCCGTGGAGTCCTTTTCACCCAGTGATCACCGTGAGACCGGCTTTCTTACAAGAATACGCGCAGACCGACGAACAGAACGGTCGCCAACACACCCGAGGCGTGGTCCTGCATCAGACGCACAGCCGCATTGCTGGTAGGAGACGGGGTGCTGGAGCTGCTGCCGGTGGTCGTACCGGCGTCCGACTCCTCCTTGTCGGTGGAGGTGCCGGTCGGCGAGGGGGAGGCCGAGGACGACGAGGTGGTGGAGGTCTCCGAGGCATTGCGCGAGCCGCACTGTTCCTTGGCGGTCTTGCACTTCTCCTGATCATCGAGATCGGGGGAGCGCGAGATGCACTGGCCAAAGTTGGCTTCGCAGACATAGTAGGGGACGGTCTGCATGTAATCGGTGGAATTGGCGGAGCTGCCATCTTCGCAGGTGCAGGTAAACTTGAGGGTTTCCTACATATGATCAGTATGACTCGTAAGAAAGAAAAAAAAAGAAAGAACCAGAGGAACAACTCACCGTGTCACACGAGTTGTCGTTGGCGGCACCGTCACACATCTTGGGGCAGGTGTTGCGCTGGCCGCGACACCAGGCAGCTAGAGAGAGGGTCAGCACTCCCCATCGCATCCAAGAAGGGAAGAGAAAGATACCTCGGTCAGTGGATTTGATCTGGTTCAGATCGAAGCCCTCGGGCAACGAGTACTCCGAGCCAGCCACGACGGTGGTGGCCAAGAAGGAGGAAAGCAGGAGAATGGGCAACATGGTGGAGAAAGGTCAAGGATCAGCAACGGGACGATCCAGATCGATAACTCAAATATGGAGAATCCAATATATGAAGTGAAAGAGATGTAGAGTAGAGTAGAAGTTAGAAGAAGTTCCCAAGTAAACAAATGGAGCGCTGAGGAGAAAGAAGAGACAGAAAAGAAGAGAGAAGAGAGAAGGGAAAAGGCAGGGATGAAAACAGGGAAGAAAAAAGAGGGGAAGATTAAATACGGCGCGGTTTGTTTTGTTGGAAGGAGCTAACTCAGTAGGCAGTTACACCCAGTCGCTTAAACCGTTGCAACCCCGGTCGTGCTTCCTCAATTGACGGTCAATTAATCCTAAACACTCTCATTAATTCGAGTCCTCTCATGAGTCTACTAAATGATGGGAGAGCCGTCCGTTGCGATGAAAACGGACATACCAGGGTTGTCCGGAATGCGCCATAAGACACTGCCTGGGAGTTCAGACAGTGGACCTATCTGGTTAGACAGGGTCGCCGGGTGAACTGGATCCGAACACTGGGTCCTGCATACTATACTATACTGATATTGGATAGATTGGATTAATTGATCTGTTGATAACCCAATATTGATATCATGGATGATCCTTTCCTGAAATGACGGCCTCAGGCCAGCCCTGTTGCCGATCCTACCGAGGTTCTTTGGATCTTTTTTATCGTTTTTTCTTCATCATGACTTGTATACATTCCCTTATTTTTTTCTTTTTATTTTCAGACATTCTTCCATATCTGTATTTATTATATACATTCCTTGATATCCTCAATTATATCCATTGTATAATCAAAATGTCCATCATGATCGATCCCCTCCCCCAGGACCAGGCCAACCTGCATCCCTTCCAGCATCATCCCTTCGCCCACCTCCTCCTCCAAAACCCCGACTACTACCCCATCCAGACCTGGTCGCGTCTCCCCAAACCCTCCACCGGGGAAGACGGCTACATGGCCCAGACCCTGTCCACCCCGACCACCATCCCCCACTGCCTCACCCTCCGCCGTCGCGATCTCCGCTCCGAGCATCTCCCGTCCGCTCCGCCCGTCTGGCCCTCCCCCACCGCCGACCCCGCCCACTCCGCTCCTTCAGCGCGCGATCCCGACGCCATCATGATGTTCGACTTGGCCAGCCCCGGCGTCAGCGGTCATCCGGATATGGCTCACGGGGGTGTCGTCGCCGCGCTGATTGACGAGACGATGAGTATGGCCGTGACTCTGCATTCGCCGCCGTCGTTCACCTCCGCCTCATCCTCCGACCCTGTCTCCGCGGACAGTGAACCCCCCACCCCCCGCGGCAAACTGTTCACCGCCCAGCTGGACGTGCGGTATAAACAGCCTACCATCCTGCCGGGCTTGGTGGTCGTGCGCGCCAAGGTCGTCGCCCGTGTTGGGCGCAAGTTCTGGGTGCGCGCGCAGGTCGTGCAGCCGGGAGATCAGATGGCGGAGGAGGTTATCACTGCGGATGCCATGGCGTTTTGGTTGCAGACTGCTGCCGCTGGGACGGCTCGTCTTTGATTCTCTTTCTTCGTTTTCTTTGTTTTATCATGTTACTGTACATAAGCATAGACTTGACACAACTGTATACTTTATAGACATAATAAATAGATCATATGTACACTCACTCACAAACAACACCCCCCATTCTATATACACCAGAAGATATAAGAGCCTCAAATCTTCGCCTTCTTCCCCAAATTCCGACTCGAACTCACCACCAACCCAACCTGGCTAGCAATGGCAACCACCTCGCCCCCCTCATCCAGAATAACCACATCAATATCCGTCCGCCCGTCCCTCATCACCTTACTATGAATCCGACTATACAACCAATCCGCCCCACCAACCGGCAACCGCTTCTTGAAATCCACGTTGAACGTCACAGTCGGATACCAGAACCTCGCAATCTTGCCCCCTTCCCCAACCCCACCACCGTCACCACCACCCTCCGCACTCGAAGCCATCGAATCAAACCGATCCAGCGCCGCAGGAAACATATCCGCCAAAAACGCCACCGCGGCGTCCGTCCACTTTCCCCCCCGGTTCCCCCCGGGACAAAACTGCGCCCACTGGTCCACGACGCCCGTCTGCGGCGCCCCTGCCTTCTTCGGGTCCGGCCCGTAAAGCCTAACCTGCCGGCCTGCGCGGCGGAACTCCGAGAACGGCACGGGCATATACGTCCACAGCCCGTCATTGTCACTCTCGCGCAGCTTCGCAAGGCTCACCTTGCCCCCCGCTCCGGAACCCCCCGGTACAGCAGGGTGCAACCCCCAGTGTGTGGGCGCGGAGATGCCCACCTCCGCAGAGCCGGGACTGACGGTGATGTAGCCGGCGACTTTGACTTCGAGGGCGTGCGGCGCTTTCGGGCTGGGCTGGGAGAGCTTCGCGTGGATGGTGCTCGTGCGGGCGCCGAGCTTCATGTCTTCGACTGTGAGGATGGCGGGGCCGGTCCCCGTGCGGCGCAGGAAGGTCAGTTGCATGGAGATGGGCGTTGCGGGCTCCGTGTAGTGTTTTGCGTGGGCGTGCGCGAAGTGCGTTAGGGCGAGGCGGTAGAATACGGAGGTTGCGTAGCCGCCGTGGGGGACTGTGCTGTTAGTATCTGTGTATTTAGAAAATCGTATGAGGAGAACTCACCGGCTCCGACACACCACTCGCCCTGCAGATTGGCTTCATATCGCCCTCCGCCTAAAGGCTTGATCTGCGTTGCGTCCTCGAACGCGGCATTGGCGGCGGGGGCGTTGGGACTCATTGTTGACGTTCGAAAAGCAATTGCGAGTTTGTTTTCGAGAGTGAAGGAGAATGGGGGAGAAAGAAAAAACAGGACGAGAGTCAGGAGGTGTAGGACGGATGGAGTCCACCTGGGTTGGAACTTAGTAGTCGTCTGTCATAACTAGTCGGCCGTGCTAGTCTAGCATGCTAGTTTAATCCGTCAATCTACGAAGAGAAGGTGATCGTCCCGGGAAACTTCCCCGCACGAGACAAAACGGTTCCCGTTAGACCTCGGTTGACTGGACGATTCACTATAAACGAGTACCGTTCATGTTGACAGAAATGGAAATATGTGAAAATGAATAGATACATACGATATGTGATAATATACCTCGAAAATAATAGTTACAATCAACCCTAACCCACCACCCCGTCACTGATTATTCTATTCATGTCCTGGCAGTGTTGATCCCTTCACCGCGCCAAGGGAACCGCCTCGTGAGCTCGTCACTCATCTATACCGATCTAATCGCCCGTTTTTGTTTTTTTCCATCCGGTTTAGTGCTGAGTGGGGACGGTGGCCAGTCGTTCCAGGCAGGATAGAGCGCCTACCATGGTCAGTATCTTGCTGCAGTAATGGGAAGTGAGAAAAGGAAAGGGCAACATACCAGCCACACCCTGCGTCAAGTACGCTTTCGCCTCCGTACTGCGATACCCCAACGTCACGGTCATCACGTAGTTGACCAACCGCGCCCGTTCCAGTTTGTTCGCCCACCGGAACACCGGCTCGTCGTCGCGCCCATCCCCCAGTGCGAGCAGGAAGTCCGGACGTTGCTCGATGTCCCCCCGTTCGCTGTGCTCCAGGCACCACCGCCACACCAGCGCCGTCGCCGTCGCCTTGTTCGTGTCCGCCGGCTCCACCACCAGCGAGTTGTCCACCGGGATGGCGTGCACCCCTTGACTGGCGCACGCGTCGTTGATGTGGCCCGCGCACGCCGACGCCAGCCGCGAAGCCATGTCCTGGTCCTCGGCCGACCCGTGGTGGAACACGTAGGAGCAGTGCCGGTGCTCGATCCAGCTGCCCTCGGCCCGCTCCTGGTAGTATGCCAGGATGTGGCTGACCCCTTCCTTCCAGGCGTCCGTCTGCGCCCGGTCCGTCAGGCTGCACCACTCCTCCGCCCCCGGTTCCCGCACGAAGCACCCGTTCTCCGCGATGAGGCCCAGCCGGCTCACCAGCCGGAACAGCCGCTCCATCTCCTCCGGCATCCGCGAGCTCATGACGTAGACGATGTTCTTGGGGTCCTCGGTCAGCTCCGCCAGCGTGTTGATGGCGCGCTGGGGCGTCGTGACGATGATGCTCTTCGGGGACCCCCACGAGGCCAGCGTGCCTTCGTAGTCCATGATGATGAGCCGGCAGGCCGACCGGTGGTACATCTGTTCCAGCTTGTTGACGGGCAGCCGCGGCACCGCCATGATCTCCCGCGACGACTGTTCGTTCCACACCCGGTTCAACGTCTCGCTGAAGGTCTTGACCCAGTTCTCGGTCGAGTTTTGCAGCACCGCCCGGTGCAGCTCCATCCACACGCGTTGGCGCTCCTCCTCAGTCCGCGAGAGGGCCGTGTGGATCGCTTCCGCGCATTGCCGGTAGTCCCACGGGTTGACCAAGAGTGCGTGGTGACCGAACACGGACGCGCTGCCCGTAAACTCGCTGAGGATGAGAGACCCAAACTTCTTCTTGGTTTCGTACTTGCCATCCTGGCAGTAGACAAACTCGTGGCTCGTCAGGTTCATCCCTTCGCGCAGGCTCGTGATCATCAGAGCATCCGCAACCGAGATCAGGGCCAGGTACTGGGGGAAGGCCAGATCTTGCTTGAGGAAGACGAGCGGCTGGTGCGCGAGGTTGGAATGCGTGGAGTTGATCCGCATGGCGATGTCGGAAATGGTAGCCTCCAGCTCGGGCTGCTCTGTGGTACTGGTGGCCACTTGGATCAACACCACCTAGAGGTACAGGTCCCATGTTAGTACCTGGGTGATGCGAGAGAACGGGGTTAGGGAGGGGGGAAAAGAAAAGAGAGAACGTACCTGGTCTCGCCATTCCGGATAGGTGTTCAGGAATAGTTCATAGCTCAAGAGCTTCTGACGGATACCGCGAACCTGATCGATCTTGTCGCGAGATACAATCAGCCGCTTCCCCTCGTAGCGCTCGGAAATGAGCTTGATCCACAGGTCGACGTCGGCGGCTTGGCGCCGTTGGTCCCACGAGGTGGGATCGATGCCGATGGGAAATTTGCCCACGTTCACGAATCGATCCTCCAGCTGCAGACCGTCGTTGGTGGCTTCCACGTTCAGGATCCGGCTGCACGTCTGGAGGAAGTGCCGGCAGTACTCGTCGGTCTGGAAGCCGATGAGGTTGGCCCCGAGCATGCCCTGGAGGAGCTCCTTGCGCGGGGCGAGACACCGGAAGACCTCGGAGGACGGGAAGGCGATGTGGAGGAAGAAGCCGATCTGGGCGTCGGGGAGCAGCTTCCGCAGCATGGCCGGCACCAACAAGAGGTGATAGTCCTGCACCCAGATGGAATCGCCGCGCTTCCAGCTCCGGGCGATCCGATTCGCAAACTCCTGGTTGACCTTGACGTAGTAGATCCACGAGTGATCTTCGTAGGCCTTGCTCTTGGGGTTGTCGGGAATCTGGTAGTGAAACACGGGCCAGAGGATGGTCTTGCAGAAGTGCGTGTAGTGCCCGTCAAAGTCGCCGTCCCGGACGTAGACGGTGAGCGACCCGTACTCGTCCTCAAGCTTCTCCTCAATGGCGGCCTTGGTGTACGGGGGCAAGGCATCGGTGGGCATGCCCAATGTGCCCACCCATACCTTGTCCTCCAGCTGCCCGGCATCGGTGGCGGACCGCACTGCGTTGCGCAGTCCCCCGTTGCCCTGCTCCGCGATCTGGATCGTCCAGCCGGCGTCCGAGAAGGAGACCTTGCGGCTGTCCCTCCGGCGGCGGTCGGTCAGGTAGGTCGGCACCGTCACCGGCTCCATGGCCTTCGGCTTCGGCTTCTGCTTCTCGGGCCGGGGCTCCACAGTCGGAGTGGTCGGATCTTGGTGTTTGAGGATGGAGGGCGACGGCGAAAACGCGGCCTGCGGTCTTGGCTGGTTCAACGACAAGGTTGCCCCCCAGGCTGGCGAATGAGCCTCGCTCTCCGTCATGCGATGGATGTTATCATCCGGGTTGGGGAACGGGAACCCGGTGGCGTGATGTTCCGCCCGGTCGAGGGTGGACGAGAAGATCCGCTCATGTTCGGTGGTGGCCCCGGGCGTGAGACCCACCGTGGGGGGGCCATTCTCCTTCTCGAACAGGCTGACGGGATTGGGGGTTGGATTCGGAGGGTCGGCGGATGGTTGTTGGGGAGGTGGGGGACTGGCCGGCCGGGGACACTGGTGATCCGAGTCATGGACATGGAAATTGACGGTATAGGGAAGAAACCTGTAACGTAACCGCGTATCAGCATGAACTCACAATAGCCAGCGATGGTGGTTGGGGAGTGGGAGGGTCGTTTCCTACAAAGAAGCGATATAGATCGTCATAATGACGATATCACAGGGTGAACCGGATAATGAATTGCAAGATTCCCAGTAGCAAAGAAAAACAAGGCAGGGAGCAGTACCCCCCGCTAAACACCAGAGAAGGACACAGGAGTAAAGATCGAGAAAAATTATGCAATGTCCCAGAACTGGACAGAGCTACAAGTGGGATGGAAGATATTCACCACGTGAGAGAAGCTAAAAGAAAAAGAAAAAATACAAGGCGTATGAATTCCGGGGCTTAATGCAGGAAAGATGCAAGAATTATGATGGGATGAAAGCAATTGACAGGGTAATTGTAAAGTCAGCACTCATCGCTTTTCTGTCTGAATTTCGAGATGCAATGAAATAGGAGGTGAGGATAGGAAGAGAGAGAGAAGAAGAAGAGAAAGCTGGAAGGGAATGAAGAAGTAAGAAAGACAAGAAGCCGCTGGACTTGCTTTCTTTCTTATCAATACGTCATGTGAAGCGTCAAAGACTCTGGGTGGGGGGAGTAATAGCTTACATACCGTATTTCCTGCCAGTTGATGTCAGATAAGGTGCCCTTGGTATTGAGATATGGTATGTGTATGTTACGGAGTCCACCGGGCGATCGCCCGTGTCACGTGTGCCGATCGCGCCCTTATCTGTGCTGCCTGAGGCAGGCGCTCGACTTTATCCAACCAAGTCCGGAGAACCTATACGGTTCCAGTCATCTACTACTCACTCCACTCGATCCTCATCTACCTCGATATATACCCGCGTCATGCCCCTACGGGTCACATCTGCTCCCGTCTCCGGGGTGCAGAAGAGGCGACGGAAACCCGCAGACTCAAAACCCCGCGCCTCGCCCTTCGCCGGCCACGCACGTCGCAAGGCCACCACCACCAGGGCACCCGATGCAGCAGACGAAGACACAGACCCCCTCCCAGACGTCGGGTTGTCGCGATACATCCCCGAGACCGCACCGGTGGAGAACGTCGTGCAAGCCTTGAGTTACATCCGCGACAGTATCTTCGACGAGATTCCCCAGCGGGCGGGAATGAACAGCACCCGGATCGCGGAGGTGCTGAACTTTCGCCGCTCGCTGCCCCCTTTGGTTTCGGTGGCTCACGTCCATACCTTGCTGGATGCGCCGACAAGGGTGGAAAAGGAGGTCATGGAGTTGGTGTCTACCGGCCGGGTGCGTCGGCTGGTGGTGCCCGGGCGTGGCAACGATGCCGCCGGGCTGGGCGACTGTCTTGTTCTGGTGGAGGATTGGGAACGGCTTGTACGGGATAGTAACGCCTTAGATCCGTCGCTGAAAGGTATTCGCCCCCCGTTATCCCAGGCAAAGCTATCTTCTCATTAACACCCACATCAGACAAATTCCTCTCCGTCCTCACCCGAATAGGAAACACCTCGGCCGTACCCGGCATACTGTTCTCCCCCCCAGAATACACATCCCTCGTGCGCGCCGGATTCCTCGTCTCCTCATCCTCCCTCGCCAAAGGCTCCTCCAACATGGCCTCCCTCCCCAGTCTCCCCTCCTCCATCACCACAACAGCCGGCAACACCGCCAGCCGATCCAGCAGTGGAAGCGATAGCCCACGCCCCAATACCACCCCCACCAACCGCTCCCAATCCCACTTCCACACCGCAACCCTCTTCCTCTCCCTCCCCAACACAGGCCCCTACCTCCGCCTCCTAGGCGCAGGCCGAACCCACCTCGTCACCATCTTGAAGAAGTCCAGCTCGCGTGAGGTGCCACTCTCTCTGCTACGAGACCGCTGGAACGGGGCCGTCGAGACGGAGTCGGGCTCCAGCGTGGCTAAGCGGATGAGGGGCGAGTTCACGGGGGTTTTGCCCGGCAGGACGAAGAAGTGGAAGGATCTGTATGGGATGACGTTCCGGTGGGTGTTGGAGGAGGCGATTGGGGCGGGGCTCGTTGAGCTGTTTGATACGGGGAGTGTGGGGCCGGGGGTGCGCTGTCTTTGATTGTGTTTGTGATGCTGGGTTATGATTCTCATTATTATTGGGTGTATTATAGATTGGACGGTGGGTTATGTTTGTTTATGACTGATGATATATAGATGCATTGATGGGGAATGGAAGAATAGAATAGATTTTCACATCTATCCGATATACACATACATGTATTACTCCGTATTGCTCTTTTACTCCTCCTCTGCAATGTTCCCAGTCAAACCCTGATGAGCCAAATGGGCAATAGTCCAGTCGACGTCCCATCCCCTAGCTCCAACGCCGTCAGACATCGGGCGGGGTTGGGGCTGGGGTTGAGGTTACCAGGGTGATAAAGACGGGAGGCGTTCGATAGAGCGGAAGCCACAGGATATAGTTTACGGTCAGATGCATGCGCAGATGGAAAATACAAAAATGATCACAATCATGGTAGGGATATAGGACTATCTAGTCAGACCTAGTGGCATGGCAGGGCAGCCCATACGATGAATGAATCAATGGATAATTCTGTCCAAGATCTCTCGTATGTGTGGATCTGATCGGTTGCATTAATGCCTCCATAAAGTATGAACAAAGAAATCCAAAACGGTTAGACTATCAAGCGATAACAGGATAGATAGAAGATGAATAAAGATAAGAAGGACGAGGAAAATAAAGAGGAACCCGATTGTGCCCCTAGACTCCTGGCTCCTTGGATCCGACAAGATAATGCTGATGCAATACGTACAACATGCTCAATACAGACAAGAAGGCTAAGACAGGCAAGTGGGGGAAAGATGACGGGAGGATGATTACAAGCAACAATCCGACGCAGAAGAAACTAAGCATCTTGTAGGAGAATAGAATAAAATGAACCGTCGTATAGGACAGGGGGTGAAGAGACAGAATGCCGGGATGGGTCAGGGCACACGGTGTCAGAAAGATCGCGTCTCGGAGACTCCAATTTTCATCATCAGTTCGGCGTATCATGAAAGCGATAAGAGGCGGATGGCGAGACCAGAAAGAGGGAAGGAAGAGCATGGACGGAAAAAATCCCGCGAAGGAGTATAGGCCAGACACTGAAGATGTAGGGGGGGGAATAAAAAGACCACAATAGAGAGGAGACAGTCGAGCGGTGCCAGGAGAGGGAAAATGGATAAAAAAAAAATAAAAATATTATTATAAAGAATGGAGGGAGTGCGGGCTACAAAGGCGAGCATATTCCAAAACGTCGCCGCTCACCGGTGCGCCGGACTGGCCGAACTGGTCTCATGTCCCGCCAGTTGTGCCGATGAGACCGCCGGGGCGGCGAGACTGTTGCTGTGGTCGGTGGGACCGGCATGGGACGCCAGCTGGGCGCGGAGCGTCGCAACCTCGCTTTTCAGCGCGCCCAGCTCGTCGTGAACCGTCCGGATGTACCGCCACAGACTGTCCTCCCGTTCCCGGCCAGGATCGATGTAGCCACCATCGGGGGGCCCGGCCCGATGGCCGCCATTGGTGGGAAGACCGTCTGGGCCCGGCTTGGTGGCCGACGGCGGGGGCGCGTGGAGCGTAAAGCGCGCATCCGCCGACGAGGCCATGCCTGGCGGGGGCGGCAGCTGCGGTGCACCGGGCTGGGGCGGGGGCAGACCCAGGCCCGGCGGCGGGGCGGAACCGGGGACCGGTGCCTGGGAGATGGACCCGGTTCGGGCGTAGGGCGGCTGAAACGACGGCGTCATGCCGGGCGAATGGGGACGATGGAGGTGGTGGGGCGTGGTGTCGGGCCCGGGGCCGACCGGGTGTGAGGCGAGGGCGTTGGGGGACAGCGGGCGCGGGCTGCTGTCGGCGACCCCGGCCGGCGGGAAGGCGGAGGGAGGAGGACCCGTGGCCTGGTGACCGGCGGGGGGGAAGGTGAGGCTGCCGGGCTGCGAGACGGGCGAGGCCGACGCGCTGGAGCCGCCGTGGCTGGTGGCCGGCGGGAACAAGCCGCCGGGCGAGGGTCGCCCCGCAGCCAGGGGCGGATAGGTGCTCGGCTGGCGGGGCGGGGGGTAGCTGGCGCCGCTGGGGGCGGGAAGGTCGTGCTTCTTGATGCTCGGCATGTTGAGGCGGCGCTCGTCCTCCTCGTCCATGCGCTCCGGCTCGGCGTAGACGAGCCCCTCCATGGAGTCGTCGGGACCGCCGGGGCCCGTCGGGTCGCCGTATTCATCGTCGGGAGCGTAGCTCCCCATGCTGGACCGACGGCCGGCACAGCCGCCCTGGCCCTTGTTGTGGCGCGCCAGGGCATCGCCCCGGGCGAAGCGGCGACCGCACTTGGGGCAGATGTGCGGACGCTCGCCCGTGTGCAGCTTGGTGTGCCGCTTGAGGTCGTGGAGGCGGCGGAAGCGCGACTGGCAGGTTTGGCAGACGTAGGGTTTCTCCTGGCTGTGGGTGAGTAGATGGCTCTTGAGGTTGTGATGGCGAGTGAACTCGGTGGCGCAGTAGGGACAGCGGTGCTTCTTGGCCGAGGGCGACCGTTGGCCGGCCTTGCCGAAGCCGGAGCCCGGCAGACTCAGGCCGCGACGCGGGTCGGCCAGGTTGCCCGTGGGCATGGGGTAGGAGAAGGCCTTGTTCCCGGTGTCCTGCAGCAGCTCGGTCTCGTCGCGATGGCGCGGACGATCGCCATCCTGCGAGGCGGAGTCCTCGATGGGACCGGGACTGGCGACCGTGGAGGTGTTCATCAGGGAGGAGGCGGCATGGTCGGCGGCGGCAAAGGCGTCGGGCGCATTCCCGGGGGTGGAGTGGGAATCGACCTGCATGTGATCGGAGACGGCGACGGCGTCAGTGGGGGGTGGCAGCGGGTGTTGTTGTTGCTGCTTCTCGCTGGCGCCTAGGGCCTCACGGGCGACCTGCGAACTGTTGCGCTCCGCATCCTTCTCCTGGTCCAAGGGCCGATCGGTCGGGCCCGCGGTGGACGGTGGCGTGGTCATGGGTGGCAGAGAGTCACCGCGTCGGGAGACGTTCAACCCAGCGTGTGCGATCGAGGTCAAAGAGGAATCAGGTTTGGAGTGTTTCAGGTAGGCGACCGAATCCGAGGGACTCGCGGTGACGGGGTGAGACGGGGTAGGTAAGGAATTGGAGAACGCCACAGAATCGTTATTTGACTGCATCAACGCGGCCATGGACTCGGAGGGATTGACGCCAGCCTGGAATGGATGGCGACCGACAGAAGAGACTATATGGACCGAGGTCATGTCAATTTAGGTGGCAGAAAAGAGAAGAGTGAGGCGATGTGGCTTGAGGGTCATGATGTGGTTGAGCCGGAGGGGGGATGGAGAGTATGAAATAGCGAGGAAATATCCGGGGGAGAAAAAGGAACCAGGCAAGACGAAGAGGCTCAGCCCAGGCGAAAACAGAAAAAGGCAAAGCGAGTTAAGAAGTAAGAAGGGGGGGGTGGGAAAGAAGTGAACGAGTGAGATGGCTCAGAGGGCAGTGTAGTGTCAGGTAGTGTTTTGGCGTGGGCCTCATTTCTCTTACCTGGAAAGCCAAGTGTGGCGCAAGCTGACCGGGGGGAGAAGTGGGCCAACAGAGCTGGCACCTCAGCTGTCTTTCCCTCTCTCTCTCTCTCTCCCTCTTTCTTTGCCTCTTTTCTCTTCTTTACCTGTTGTTCTTTTCTTGTCCCTTTTTTTTTGATTTATTTATTACCCTCCCCCAAAGGGAGATCCCGAAGAGAGGTGAAGGAAAGGGGAAAGATATCCAGACAAACAAAGCATCCAGTCAAAAAAGTATATAGCAAAATACAATCAATTCAATTCCATGAGATCCAATCACACATCACACAAATTAAAAAACAAGAAAGTAGAAAAGAAAGAGAGAGAGATGGATGCAGGATAAAAATAGCGATCAGCCTTGTGTGAAGGTGAAGGGGCAGAGTATCAGCACGGAGTCATTCGACACGGACGATCTGGATCGATCTGGAGATTCCCGCATAGGGATATTCAAGTGGCTGGACAAGAGACTTGAGTTTTAAGATATGATTGACAGAAAAGACGAGTTCGTCCAGGATCAGATCAAAGCGAGAGAAAAGACCGCTCGACTTGCAACTGGAGAAGATGCGAGATCGATCAGGGAGGGGCTGACTAAACGTATCCATACAGATCGTACCATCTCCTGACCATACCATACATACCTGGAAAGTATCATACAGAGATGGAAACATTACCATCCCCATCCATACCATCTCTATACCGACCCATACCCCATCCATACAATACCCCATATCGTGATCCTATTCGACTGTGATCAATCCTGCATCCATCACACTTCTTCCCGGCGCTTCTCATCACTCCAATCATCCTCCATACTCCTGCATCCTCGACCTTTTTCCTGCATCGTCCCCGGCGCTTAACCAACCCTCCTCTGCCCTTCCCCTCCAGTTATCACATCTGATTCGAGGGAACCCTGCTTAGCATGTCCTTCACCCCGTTATACTTAGAGAGACCGTCTTCCCAACATGGCGCCTGCTCCTTCTCTCGTCCTTTGGGATCCTCTTCTACCGTTCAGTCAATGACCTTTTCCTCCTCTCTCTTCCCTGTGTCTTCTGAAAGAGACAACAAGAGAGAGTAGACAAAAGAAAAGAAAAGAAAGAGACGAAAGTCAAGAGACAGACAAGAGGTTGAGAGCAGGCTCTCCCCTCTTCACCACTCCAGCTGGTCTTCATCGTAAAGCTCATACTTGTCTCTTCCGGTCAACCATGGCTCCCCATGCGCAACCAACCGTCGCTTCTCAAGAACGAAGCTCCTCCGACTCGACTGTCTCCTCCTTGAAGAGTCCGCGGACCGCTCGTTTTGCTGAGGCGACCACGGTTCACTCCCCGACCGACCCCACGGCCCACAAGTCCCCCTTCGCCGACCCTCCTCCACATCAATCCCAGACCCCACCCGATGTCTCTGACATGGGCTTTGGCTATGTCACCGCGGCCGACCCGGCGCATCATGCCCATCACCATGCCCCGGCCTCTCCCCTTCGGAGTGCCCTCAAGGTTCCCGGCACGCCGGGACGCACCTTGAACCCGCTTAGCCCCACTTTCCGGGAGGAGTTCTATGTGGAGAAGCAAGAAAAGTCGGCCGAGGAGGAGAACGCGCGCGATTTGGTGAGTAGATTCCGCCCCATTCCCCCCAGTCAGGATAGACGTGGCTAACAAACCCCAGAGAATTAAACTCCGGGTCCGCATCGCCAAGATCTTCCTGCGTTTCGTCAATTTTGGCTGCAGTCTGATCATCTTGACCATCCTGGCCACCACGTTGACCATCTTTCATGCCACCAAGGCCCTGCCTTCCCGCAGCGGCTTCCCCGCATGGGCCAATGGCACGAACCCGTGGACCCAGTACCTTCTTCTGGCCGTCTCGGTCGTCTCGCTGGCCGCCTGTTTGATGGTCTTTTGGGCCTACTGGAAAGGCGGTCACAAACGCGCCGAAAAGGTGGCCGTCTACTACACCACCTTTTCCGTCTGCTTTTTCGCCTTCAGTCTGATCATGTGGGTCGTCGCCGCCGCCCTCTACCAGAGTGAAAAGGCCAAAGGGGACGGTAAGGACCTGTGGGGCTGGTCCTGCAAGCAGAATCCCCGGGAGAAGTTATTTCACAATGACATTGATTACGCTCTGCTCTGTCGTCTGCAGGTGAGTCAACCCTCCCTATCTTCCTCTCCTGAGGCTTCATACTAAAACTGGTGGTAGGATTGGGGACTAGTGTGCGCCGTCATCGAGATTGTCATCGAGGTCTTGATCATCCTTATCTACGCCGTTGTCTTCTACCGCTTCTGGACCAAGCGGCGGCTGATGAAGTCGATGGACCGTCGTGACAAAGCCCGCTCCGACCTGTATCTCGCCCAGCTGCGAGTCCAGTCGGCTCCCAACACGCCCGGCTTCCCGCGCACCCCGAAGACGCCGTTCGTGACCGCAGGGCCGGCGCAGGACCCGTATTCCGCCGCTGAGAATGGCGAATACTGTGCTACCCAGTTCGCGACGCCCCGCTCCCCCGCGAAGCCTCAACCGACCTTCCAACTCCAGCCCCCTCCCATTCGCGTGCAGCATGCGACGCCCAAGCAGGACCAGGCTGAATTCGCGGCCCCTCCCGCCCCGGCGCCCGTGTCGCCCCCGTTGGAAGGTCCCTCGCAACACATGGAGGCGGCCCCGGGTGAGCGGACATATGATTCCGTTCCCATTCCTGAGGCGTATACCAGCCCCATGGCCTCCAGCTTCCCCCCGAATGCTCGACAGTGAACCATGAGGTCGAAAGGCTGAAAGGGAAAAGAAAGAAGAGAAAAGGCAAAAAAAAAAAAGAAGAATGAGAGGGAAAAAAAAGAAGAAAATTTAGAAAATAAAAAAAAGAAACCTGCCAAATGATTGATTCATCTATGCTTCTGGAAGCGGCAGTGTGTTCATTCGATGGTGCTGTATCCGCTCATCGCCAACATATAGTTGGAAAGTGTCTTCTTTTTCTTTTGTCTTTTTCTTTCGTCTTCTTCTTCTTCTGTTTTCCTTTTTCTCTTTTCTTTTGTGTTGTAAGTGGCCTAAGGCAAGGGAAATCCTCAACCTATCTGTTATAATGTGTACCTGTTTGTCTTTGCTTTTACTCATGTTAAATACGTCTATTATACCATTCTGCGAGTCATCTTTCTTTATCTCCTTTCTTTCCATCTGCATTGTCTCTCTCTGACACATACACACACTCTTTCTTACCCGTCTTCTATGGGTGCTCTCGCTCTCACTCCCGTCCCAGACTCTTCACTGTGGACGGGCTGTATACAACAAAGATTAAATGAGGTTTATTTAGCACCATACATACATAGCCCTGCATCGCTAGTTGCGCCTAGCTAGGTAATTGTTTACCCATACAAACATATTATGGAACTCAATCTTTACAATCCTATCAATCACCTGCTACGGATACCAAGTAATTCTTAGCCCAGCTAATCATGAATATCAGAATTGTGTTCAGTTTCATAAAGTAAAGTAAAATAAGAAACCCACGCCCGCCCCTACCCAGAGAGCACAGCCCATACCAATGACGCCTTTCCCACGAACATAAATCAATCAATCAATCAACCAAACTCGAGCAACCGCAACCCATGTATACTACCATAGGTCATGCAACATCATCTTTCATACAGCATACAACGAAGGGAAAAAAGGAGAAGAGAGCTGAGGGGTCCTAGGCTATACATGGACCCTCGGCGCTTACATTGCTCCTTCTTCGAGGACGGCGTTCGCATCTTTGGCGATGAAAATTTCCTCTAACTTGCCGGCGCCGAGGTTGCTGAGGGCGTCGTCGTTTTTGAGGATGAGTCCTTGTTCGTTGGCTAGATGGAGTAGGCAAATGAATCCGAAAGAGGTGCTGATGTCGCGGAGGGTCTCGGGGGCGTAGACTGATTTGAGGGCGTTCATGACGCGCGTGAATCGTAACTGGTTCTGGTCCTCTGCACCCTCGCTTCCAGGGATCAGACCCTTGTCCTGCGGCGAGGAGCTGGGAGGTGCGTCGGGTCCGCTTTCTTCTGGCTGTGGCCGAGCTGGACTGGAGACGGCCGCCGCAGAAGAGGCGGAATCGAACTGGGACGAGGCGATGAGCCGCTCTCCCATCCCCTTCCACATCTCCAACTTCAGCCGTCGCACGTCGACCTTCTTGGCGACCCGAGCGTATGCCACGTAGTCGGGGCGCGCTCTCCGGCCACCCTGCGTGACTAGTTGGGATCCGTAGCCGCCAGGCCCCTGTTGGGAAGAACCCGGGGTGGCTCCGACCATGTTCAGGAGGGCACTGAGCCCGGTGGCCCCGCCCGCGTCGCCCGTCGCCGCCCCTGGTTGCCCATCTGGCGGCGGCGACAGCATTTCGCGGGCGTCGGCAAACGGCAGATTGTCGTCTTCATCGTCACCCAAACCAAGGCCATTGGGGAACGCGAGACCATCGTCATCCGCGAAGAAGTCCGCATCGTAGGCGCCCGGCGCACCTTCATCCGGACCTTCGTTCGCCTCCGTCTTATGATTGGCCCAGAACGCCTCGTCCATCTCCCCGTGGCCGGAGGTCTGGTCCTGCCGTCGCTGGTTGAATGACCGAGATCCGACCAGCTTCCGGGAACCCATCCGGGCCTTGGGCTTCAGGAACAGACGCAGTAGTTGTCGGGAGTTGAAATGCTTGTCGTCTGGGAGGAGATTGCGCCCTTTGGTCTTCCATTGGGTCTTGGGGAGGGAGATGGCGGAGTTGGAGCTGGCGGGGGTGTATATCAGCTCGGAAACGGACGGGTCCAGAGGGAGGCTGAAGTCGATCTCAAAAGGTTCCTTCTCTTTCCGTGGCTTGGGAGCCGCGTTGGACGCGGTGGCCGCCGTGTGTTCTTTGATGCGGCGGATCTTCCAGTGCTCCGGACCGGCCCAGTTCTTTTGGAGCGCGTTATCGAAGTAGCTGAGGATGTTCTCATGGTCTCGCTTGTCGGGCTGGTGCGTGAGGGAGATGGAGTAAGTGTCGTTGTCGAACGCGTCGCCGTCGGGATTCTCCTCGCCGTCTTGCTCCACACGATGGACCTTGAGCATCGGCTCCAGGGCCGCTTCACG